ATTCTGAGAATGTACTCACAACCTCGACCAAATGCACAATATTGAAATTCACATACTTGTTCTCTCGCACCGAATTAACCAACAAGGGCTTACTATGTTACAACACCATCGTTACTACGTAACCACTCGAACCAAACACAAGAAAACATAACATCTCCATCCCTCAGTGACCAGTAAGGTCAACTCTTTAATCCACAATCACCCCATCACTCAATACACTAGTGCAACCAAAACGCTAAGTCTCACAGTCCACCCGTCATCTGTTAATACTTATAGAACAATTACCCTAAACCGAGCCTCGAGCACACACATGAGACGTACGAGATTTTCAAAGTCTTACCATCCCAACTCTATAGAAGAATGAATGAAGTTCTCAACACACTCACTGATATTCTAAACCCCAACTCAAAACACCAACTCATTGGAACCCTACACACAGGTCACCCATTAACTATGGGCATTACACCCGACCAATCCTTCCAATAACATCTCTTAGCTTATTCTGAATTAAGGTTCACACCTCTCACACCAAAATACAATAGGGAATCCTAGAATTTAGGGAATGCCCGCTATACCACTGTTCAAAATATAATACCAGCTACTTTGAGCACACCGCCCATCGACGTTAACAACCACTACCATGATAAAGGACTAACATCTCTATACAAGAAATAACCAACCAGATAATTACAGATATTTGCTATTATGACCTGCCTTTAGAGTACAAATCTATACTTAACAAAACTACACACAATTCACTCTTTGAAGACAACACGTTGTACGTATAAAACCTAGTGTCAATCACACACTTCACATCCTCTCGGGGAGTTCTCACGACAGTAGACCAAAATCTCTACCACGCACATAAGGCCACGTAAAAAAAGCTCATGAAGTATAATTGTTCTCACCTGTAGCTCGACTTTTTCGCCGCCCCCTTTTCGGAGGGCTTCGAATTGGTCCTACAGTTCGGACTCTTGTTACGGTTCTAAATCTAATCTCACAAAGTGCAATATAAGATTGATAAATCACCAAAGATTCCAACCCAGCAAATCGATTTGAAAAATCGATTTCCAATTAAATAATGCCAAAATTGGACTGTTTTGCCAGATTACAGAGTCGCCACCTAAATATTTTATTTTGAAAAATTTAGGAAACCCTAACTCATGCCAAAGGCCACACATCTGTCATCACCAAAGTTGCCTTGGCTCGGGAACTTGGGTATGAGAAGGAAAGGTCCTGAAATAGGCACCCCCGCTCGCCCGATCACAAGATCGGCCTCTACTAAGAATTGATATGTTGTTTTATAAACACATGTGTTTTTATTCTAATTATTAAGCTAACTTATTATGTGATGCGCATAGCATACAAGTATAGACTAAATCGCAAGAAGTGGAACCAAACAATTCATGTTTGTTTGTCGAAATGGTTTGGAATTGTTACCCTCAAGTAGGCTAAAGCGCGGATTTGCCATCAAACATGATGAGCTTAAAACATGATTTGCCACTTCGCAAAGTGGGCTTAAAACTCGCATTTATTGAATTGTTCCAATTCAAGTAATGAAGCCTTAATCCACAGACATTCATGCAATTAATCATTTAAGCACATAGCCTCATGGCAAGCATGCTAACATGGCAACACTCACACTTATGCAAGTATGCTAAAGCTTAAAGACTTACCGAGTACTCCAAGCCAAAACACAAACTAGTTAGAAACAATACATGATCCTAACTATACAAAATGCCTAATGCAACACATACAATAATGCAATCTCGGCTATCTAAGATGGCATATGAATGCAATAATTTGATAACATGCTTTGAAACACGTATTCAAATATGTATTCAAACGACAATGCAGTTTGAATGATGCGCAGAACCCGGTGCATGCAAGACAAATGAATGGATGTAAACATATAAGCATAAGGTATGCTAATTTGAAATATGCCCTAAACTAACCATCGAAAGCGGTTAAGTAAAAGGAAGAAAGACGTGGGGTTGGAAGACATGCACACACACACGCGCGCGCTTATTACAACATTTTGCCCTCTCGACGGAGGGTCCGAATGAAAGAGAGTTAACTAGCTATGCTAATTAAGCTAACTATTAGAAACCACAACTAATTAACTACTCTAGCTAATTAATTATTACAAACCGAATTAATTAATTTAAACACTTAATTAATTAATTACAAAAATACTAAGCTAATGAACTAATTAGCTAAGCAATTTAAATGAACGGCCTCGGGAAGCGAGGGATGCATGCATGCTCGATTGGCTTCGTCCCGAAAATCCACCACCTTGCCTCAAGATGCCTCTGGTTGCACATCTTTGGACCTCTGAAAATTATGCCAACTTCCAGATTGCTTCTATTTGCTCTAAAAAACACACTGGGGGTTGATCGGCTAGAAATGGTGGCCATCAGCCACTACTAATGGCCAGTCGGCTACTTTGGTGGCCGGGCGGCTGGCTTTGATGGCCGGTCAGCCACTACTTCCCTGAAATTCCTGCTTTTGCTGCAACAAAGAGCAAACAGAGGCATGGCAGTGTATTTGCAAGGAAATGTATGTACTGTCGCCCTCCTTATCATATCTCAAGCTCAAAGGAGTGCGGCACTCGGCTCTCAAGCCACCAATCAAGCACGTCAATGCATGACGGCCAAAGAACCAAGCTTGTACAATGTTAATGAATGCACACATACGACTTGAAGAGCCTCTACCCTATCATGCATGATCAAAGGTATCGACAACCAAGAAACGTAACACGTTTCAACACTTCAAGAACGAAACGTCCCACATTTTCTTGTGTTTAGATTAACGTCTGATCCAAACACATGCAATGCAACACACATGCTTATATTGCACAAGTTTTACTTGATTCATTTTTGTTTACACATTTTAGATTACCGATTAGTCATTTAACCGGTTAAGTCCAATGTGAAAGTCCTCTAATTGGAGAGTAGTCAACCGAAGGATGGCTTAAGACATGAGAGAGCTCATGCCTTTGGCTCGTAGAAACCCCCAAGAGAGAGTTAAAGCCATTAAGCACAAGCTCTTTATCAAGCTTAAACACAATCATAAGGCGAACCAACCCTCAAAGAAAATTAAAAAATGAAGAAATGAGGGAGGTGGCAGATATTCAATGCTGAAATGGCATGAGAAATAGTGCTACAACATGCAAGCAACACATGCACAACATGTTCCCAAGTTAAGAGCATGAAACTAGTGAAGAACACTACACTAGAGGCATGCAATACCAAGCTCAAATGATCAAACCAGCTATTGACAGACCTAAAACATGCCAAATTAGTGGCTAAAACATGTTGAAATTGAAGCATAGGAAGCAAGAAAAACATGCTCATTTGTTGGCCCACAAACAAGGTACAAGGCACAACTTTCAAAAGCAATGAAAGAGTAAGATATGTGAGAGTGGCAAAGATGCCTCTGTTTGCACATCTTTGGACCTCTGAAAATTATGCCAACTTCCAGATTGCTCTGAAATCTAGAATCACATGCTAAATGATGTCATATCATACAAACATCACAAGTAAAGCATGCTAGAGGTCCTAAAATTCAAAGCTAGTAAAGGCCATTTACACTATAGCTATACAAAGCAAAGCACATATGACCAAGACCACCCAAAACAGAGCTAAACCATGCTAAAATATGAGCAAAAGTGTGCTGGAGTCGAGCTAACATAAGCTAGAATGATAGGCTAACTCCTTAGGCATGCTAGGCTAGTGAGCAAAATTACACTACAAGTGTAAGAAGAAAACAAAAGGCGCTCCAACCAGCCAAAAACAGAGTTATAACATGTTAAAATAAGGCCAAAAAAATGCTCAAACTAGGCTACAAAAAGGTAGAAAAGCATGCTCAAATACTAGGCCATCTACATATGCAAACAAGATATGAGGAGGAGGGACTACCCCCTCCTATTTTGGTTCTCAAAACCAACTTTCTACCACTGAAATTCCTCTGGAATTCAGTGGTTAAAGGGCCAAAAAGAGGTTATTTGAAAAGCTCTAAAAGATGACTCAAAAGCATCACAAGCGAAAAAGCAAAGGGAGGGAACCACCCCCTAACCAAACAAGACTCAAACCACTATTTTAGAACCTTAAAATCAGAGGTTTTTTACAGGTTAAAACAAGCCTCAAAGTAGTGTAAAAAGATAGCCAAGCACTTAACCAAAACAAAACTTAAAAGGGACAAATTCTTACCCTTGAAGCAAAGTAGCAAAACAGCAAGAATTATGAGCTAAGACCAAGCTTTAGACCTCAAATAGAACCTCCAAGGACCTCAGCTCCAAGATGAAGGTATTTGGTCAAGAGGTTGTATGCAAAAATGTAGAGAAAGCTCACTTTCAAGGACAATATAGAGAGAGAGAGAGAGAGAGAGAGAGAGAGAATTCTACAGAGAGTGAAATTTTACTCACAAAATTTTTGAACCTCAAAAAAAGGAGAGAGGCCTCCCCTTATATAGACAAACAAGCTTAAAGCTTGTTTGAATCCCTCCATACACGTGTATGGAGGATACACTCCGTGATCAACAGCTGGCACAGCTGGCAAATAAAATATCTGAAAAAGCAAAAAAAAAGGCCATCGGCCATCAATGTGGTCGACTGGCCATCAGTGTAGTCAACCGGCCAACACTAATGGCCGATGGGTTGTAGGGCTGGCCGACAGGCCACCCTCTTCCCCAAGCTAGAAGAGACAAGGTCTTGGTCCACAACCAAGCATAAAACAGACAAGTTTCAAAGGCTCAAAGGCAAGGCACTCCACCAAGAACATCAAGCATTCAAAACGAACACAAACATGGATAACCATCGAGTGTTCAAACGATGACGTCCAAGTCTTGAGGACAGACAAAAATGGGGTGTCTACATCGCCCCATGGTAATCCCGACCAAAACACGTATTCCTCAACAACTCTTTCTATTTTCAAAATATGGCTCGTCGACCATCACATTTCCAAACCAAGTCACAAGGGTATATATACATCAATACGAAAGTTTTCCGACCCCACAACTTGCCATATTAATAAAACTGTAGAATCATTACACATTCCAATCCACCCAATTCATGGGAATAAACAAGCAAAGGAACATATATATATAAGTAGTTTTGATGTCTCGACATCCCCAAAACACATTGGTTACAAAACAGAACTTAATGATTACAACAATAACCCACCGGTTACAAAACGGAATAGTCAAAACAACACCATTTCAATAGCACTACCACCACCACCGTCCTTCACTGGACTGCTAAAGTCGGCTACTCTCGAGCCCAAAATACCCTAAAAGCTCACAAGCTACGGACAGGAACAACTGATGTGTCCAAACTGGCCACACCTAGAACAAATGCATAAATTTCCCACTAGTGGTCTGGGAACTCGACTCTCCCGCGGCCCTCGAAATCTGGCCTGCTTATTTCTCATAACAGTATTGCCCTTGCCCGGGCGAAAAAGATCGAACCCGACTAGGTTGCGAAACTCCTAAGGAATCCCCCGGCTAGGTGCAGAAACGTTTAAGTTGACTTGACTGATTACACCCCTAGCATGTAAGTGGTTTTCAAATACGTGACTGGTCCAAAGTCTGAACTAGTGAGGATCCTAATGACTGTTTCCCCATCGAGCACTCGATTGTTCCAACCCTTGGCTGACTAGATGATCCTGGTGGTGTAACCATTGGTTAAACTACCAATCCTGCCATCTTCCTCTGCGGAAAAATCGGAGACTTATGGCCCAGCTGGTCACATTTGAAACAAGTGAGATCCCTCTACTTGATCATTTCCCGAGCCCAAACTCCATACTGGAAATGTAAAGCTAGACTGTGCTCTCTAAAACTGTTGTGGGTTAAAACCCCTCTGCCTCTTAAAAGGCCTACCAATACCCCGAGTTACCGAAGTCGCCAAAATGGCCTCCTCCCTACTCTGACCCATGACTAATACCGTTGCCTCTACATGAGCCGCAGCTTCTACAAGGGCACTATAACTTCTATGCCAAGACCCGGCAATCCTTTCGCGGATATCGTCACACAGCCTCCTCTCGAACTCCAAACAACACAGTTTCTCAGTCTCCACGACCTCCGGAGCAAATCTCGACAGGTTAGCAAACCATGCTTCAAATTGTACCAAAGGTGTAGTACCTTGGCACAACTCCACAAACTATTTCTGCAACTCTTCCCGTGTGGAATGACGGAAATTGTTATATCCTTGTCTAGACATCCGAATAAGGGTAACCCAAAGATATTAGTACATTCACAAATACGTCGAAGCTAACTCATTCGCGTTCTCACATATTGGATAATAATAAATCACTCCACATAAGCACATAATCACATAAACACATACGAATTTCATTTTCGGAGAATGACCGTCCCGTGGCATTGCTAGAGTTCCAATTAGAAACGGCAGTGATCAAGTGCCTTTCTAACAAGACTCCCAGGAACCCATGGACCCGATCAACATCCTAGAAACTAAATCACATACTCATATAGTCACAAAAACATGTTATAATATAAGCACATAATCTCATCCTTAAGTCTCTAACAAGCGAGACAAACCAATTGTGGTACTAACCACTTCCCACGTACCCAAAGTATTCAAACCCGGTACACTCTGATACCAAGTTGTAAGGCCCGCCAAAAAAATATACCACAGATGTGATCCACAACAACATAAATAACAGTTACATAAATCAGAGTGTAAGTAATCCTTTCATTACATTAAGTAGAAATACAAAAGAGTTCAACATAAGCGAATTCCCTTTGGGCATACATCTTTCCAAGACATTACTTGGTTACAACAAAAGAGAGTCATAAGCTCAATACATGTAAAGCCCTTGGCTTGAATAAACATTTAAACAATCAAACAACAAATAACATAATAGAGTCTCTAGCTCCTAAGCCTTCTCAAGCTACGTCCTTGGAAGGAGCATGACACTGGTACCTGAAAATGGTTTCCCACGTAGGGTGAGCCAAAACCCAGTAAAGAGACTAATACCATATATGAGGTTTAGCTAAGACACATGTGCTAGATAAATGTTCCACACTCATAACCAACTCCCATTCTTTCCATAATCATTCAATACTGATACCCTTATCTCAATTCCATTTCCATCTATTCAATTCTTATTAATTCAGTTAATTTCGAGTCAATTCATGAGACAAGCTTATTGTTATCTAAACAATCCAAAATGAGACAGCAACTCAGTACTTCATAACTCAATGCTACTATTATTCAAACACTTCAATTTTTTCATTTAACGGAATTTTCAACCGAGGGAACCGGCACCCATATATGCACAAGATATGAAGTTTTGCCATTTTACGAAATTTTAATCCGAGGGAACCGGCACCCATATATGCACAAGATATCATGATTTGCCATTTTACGAAATTTTCATCCGAGGGAACCGGCACCCATATATGCAAGGTTTCGGGACTTTCACCCTGGATACTCCGACCAACTTAATTTTAAATGGAGTCCACCCCCTATCTCCTTCCAAACAATGATACATATGCAATGTATTAAAATCATCATCATATACAATGACTATCTATGACACAAATTTAACATCTCAATCATACCATCATATTCAATGAGGTAAATTTAAACGACAGGTTTCAATTCACCTAATTCACATGCAGTTTCTACAATAATCATTGCTGTCCTCCACCGATAGCCCAGAACAGATATTTCTAAACCGATAAACAAATCTATCAAACAGATAACTTGCCAAAATTTCCATAGGTGTATGATTAACCAAATCTAACTACACCATTCATTCACACATCTTCCCAGTTTCATATTTCTCATACCAATTCCATTTTTTATACCAAATAATTATTTAGCTCATATTAGGGCAAATTTCTCCCTTTCTCCAATACTAACCCAAAGGTCAAATTCACCTATTTAAACAAAAAAACCACGTCATATCCCAACCCCATGGTCAAATATACAACAATACATAAAAACCCCTCTTTCAAAAATTGAACCTAAACCTTAGGTTTTCTCTAAACACCACAAATCTCACCATATATTCGTAACAACAAATACCTAGGTTAAAAATCATAAACAAGTGCAGTGGATCCCTACCTCAAACGGAGAAGCTCAAAGGAGATGAAGAGTGAAACTTGAAGATGCTTCAGACTTGAATTTCTTCGAATCAAAATGAAGCCCACACAATACTCTACCTTTTTAACAAAGGGACTAGGGTAGAGAGACCCAAGATCAAGGTGTATTTGTAGAGAGAGTTTAGAGAGGGAGACAGCCGGATTTAGGTTTTGGAGTGAAAATGAGATGAAAAAGTGATAAAAATCACGCTGCTGCGAACTGATATATACAGATCTCGCTCGAGCGAAGGAGTTGTCGCTTAAGCGACCAGACACAAAAGAACCTCGCTTGAGCACAGGAAGCGTCGCTCGAGCGAACAATGCAAAGCTTCAGGTCTACAACGCCGAAGCACGCTCGAGCGCAAGAACCACATAACATAGGGCTCGCTCGAGTGCAAGAAAGCTCGCTCGAGCGCAAGAAAGCTCGCTCGAGCGAAGAATACCAACCTTCAGGTCTTACAGAGACGCAGACGCACACTCGAACGTAAGAGTGCTCGCTCGACCGAAGAGACACCACAAAAAGCTCGCTCGAGCGCAAGAACCATAACTCGAGCGAAGAAGGAAATACCCAAAGCTCGCTCGAGCGAAGAAGCCAAATCCTGGGCAACAACCTTTTGTACCAACTCACAACCAACCTGATCCAAACTCACCCAATAAGTCCCAAACTCAAATACAAAGAGAAAAAGGAAGGAAACAAGACCTAGGCAACAACAAACAATCACAGAACCCGAGTTCGAAATACAATAATGGTCGGGGTGAAACCAGGATCGCTATAGTAGAAAATCCTTACAAAGTATATACAGTTATGCAAAATTTTCCAATATTGAATGCAAATGCCATGCAATGCCAGTTTAATGAAAATCTCTTTTACATGCTCTTCTTGAAAATCACCATTTTCATCTATAATTGAAATCTCAGCAATTCCGAAACTTGCAATTTTATTCAATAGGGGCGGTAAATACGACTCAGGTAATCCCTAGGTTAGTGTCTGCAAGTAGGCTCAACAAGTACTACCAATAACCCCACTTTACCAGTTGCTAACTGGAAGGGAAGTAGTACCTCCTCCGCACATGTTTTTGATCTACACCTCCTATCAGGCTTACCAACGTATTTACCCCATAAACATTTCAGTAATATCATTTCATATCATTTCTTTATCAAAGTAAATGGTTTCAAATCTCAACTCAACACTTGCAACAATAGATGTTAGGAATGTCTATACAACATGCCAAAGCTAAATAAAAATCTTATAATAACCAATTGAATAAGTATGTAATGCCATAGTTGTCCACTTCCAACATAATATCAACATTATACAATAATGATCAAATTTCCTTTTCTCCTTGCAATGCTATTTCACAAGTAGCGTGACGATCGGATCTTCCTTCTTTCTTCTCTTTCTTTTTCTTTTTCCTTCTTTCTTTCTTCGCTCCGTCCTTCTTTTATTTTCGTTGGGCTTGAAACGTCTAGAAATAGTTCTCTAAATAAAGTTCTCGCTCTTGTTTGGTCCGGTGTTGGGTTTCACTTGGTTCGGAGGGTGTGAAGTCGGTCCGGTGTGTCGGGAGTCAAAACAAAGAAAAATTTCTAGACTGGTTGGCTAGCCGCATGTGCGGGGGCCGTGGGCCACACGTGCGACATGGGCCACACGTGCGGGAAGGGCCACACGTGCGGGAGGCTAGGCCGCACGTGCAGAATTCAGGGGAGTTGCGGCTCAGCACACTGCAATATCTGCAGGTGCATGACTAGGTGCGGGAGTGGATGGCTGCACGTGCGAGAAGGAGGCTCTGCACGTGCAGGACGGGGGCAGTCCGAATCTTTGTTTTTTGTATATCTTTTGGCCAAATTTATATCACTTTTAGGGCTTTTCTATCTCACTCTAAACCTTATTTTTCTTCCCCTTCTCTCTAGAAAACCTCCTCTAACCCTAAAACTCTTTGATTTAGCCATCCTTTGGATCAAGATTCATCATCACCATCATCTCTCCCTCTCAAGCTTTGGAGATCAAAAGCTACGGCTCTTCATGGTGTAGTGAGAGTTGAAGGATCTTTCATCAAAGTTAGGGTTCATCTCTATTTCTTTATCAAACATTGAGGTAGGGTTTCCTTTGAGTTATATACATGTTTATGTAAGTTTTGAATTGATTTTGTGAGCTTCTCTTACTATTTCCAAAAAGGGTTTTGGGGGCTCAAGAAAATTGATGATTTTGTAGGGCAAACTCTATCTTGTGTTCTTTTAAAGACTTTTCTTGAAATTTTGCACAACATGGGTTGAGATTGAAGTATATGATGAGATTTTATAAAAGAGATGAACATTGTTAGGGTTTTTGTGGAAAAACCTAGAAAATTGGGGATTTTGGAAAAATGTGAACATGTCTAAGGGTTTCTTTATGGTTTTGTGTCAAGAGAATGAATGAGAGTGAATTTTCACCACATGTTTAGCAAAATAGCAAATTACTTGATGTATGAGAAATGAGATGTTATTTTAACATTATTGCTAAACACTTGAAAATGTATTGTTGTGAAGTGGCGAATTGTTATGCACCATGGCTAGTGAGAATTGTAAACATTGGAAACTAATATTTGAAAACATCACATGTAGTCTTGAATATATCACATTGTTGAGAATTATACATGATGAGAAATTGTAGTTATGTGTTGATGACATGTGGTTATCTTGTGAGAGAACATTGAATGAAGGGAATGAGAAATGTGATTGTTGATATTATTGTAGAAATATTGAAAATGAAGAAATGCCATGAGGTATGGGGAATCATTGCATTGCATACTCATTCAATTCATCATTATGCATTGTGGATTTAAATTGAAGATATTTACTTCATGAAAGAAAAAGGTACTGTAATAAGAACAACGAAATTGTGCATGGGGTAAATATGTTGGTAAGTCCGGTTAGGAGGTGTAGATGGAATGGATAAGTTAGCCTGAGTGTCCGGGGTGAAAGACCGAAAACACGAGCGGAGGAGGTACCACTTCCCTTCCGGTTAGCAACCGATAAAGTGGGGTTATTGGTATTGCTTGTTAAGCCTACTTGCAGACATCAACCTAGAGATTACCTGAGTCGTATTTACTGCCCCTTATGATTAAAATTGGATGTTTGAAAAATTGATAAGATTACAAAATGTTAATGAAAATCATGGTGTTTGTCAAGAAAAGCATAGCATGTGATTATTTTTGAAATGGCATCGCATGGCACTCGCATATGCATTCAATATTAGATACCTCACATAAATCTATATACTTGTTAAGGATTCTCTACTGGACTTATTGCTCACCCCTATGGGATTTGGTGCAGGTAAAGATGTGGTGATCCCACCTAACTGAGGGCGTGGATATGTTTTGGTGAAGAGTAGATTGCTCTTTATTTTGTTGTAAATTTTTTGTAAAGCCAAGGGCTAATATGTATGGGTCCGATGGATCATTTTGGTGCAACCAGGCTCATGCCTTGGAATTTGTAAGCCCTTGAGGGCCCTTACTCATTCTGGTTTAATGATTTCACATGCTATAGATTCATGTACTAGCCTTCAATGAAGGTGTATTCGCATGTGAGATTACTTTTGTATAAACATTTGAAGTTTGTAATAGAATATGGTGATTACGACCTTCTGGTATCTCTTGTGTATCGGGGTCATTATTTAATGATCTTGGGTTGATGTATTATATTTATATTGGATTATTTCGGGGCGTTACAAGTAGCCCAAGGTTTGCTACCAATTATCACTAATACAACAACATATCCACAATCTATGCACTTCTGTTATTTTCATCATTTCAAACTATTTGTGAAATCTAAACAAACACTCTCCAATCTCAACA